TCCTGTCACCAAATAGAAAATTATCCCAGTTATCCGAAATTCTAAGAATAACCCAGAAGGAAACTGGGTCGGATCCTGTTAAAAAGACCATTTACCCCCACGTTTTTCAAAGGAGAATTTTTTGGAGTGAGGTCATTTCTGTCCAGAACACATTTCGGACCCTTGCTGTTTGGAAACAGGGAATAGGCAAGAAAAAGTGTCGAAAGTGTCAAAAGGGGACAGACATCGGATCTTCGACCGACCCGCAAAAAAAACACGCGGACCCTATGAACTTAAATCGGACCGGCCAAATAACCGGACGAAGCTCACATTCGAAAGATTTTCCCACTGTTTCAAGAAATTCCGTTATTGGACGTACGAAATCTTTTCAAATCATTCGAAAATCGCCAAGTAAAGAAAACATACCTAAGAACAGGTCCTAATAACTAATACAAAAGAATTCCTTCATCCTCGGGACATATCAATGAGATATCCCATAACATGCTCCTGCAGTTAATAAAATATATACGAAATCAAAACGAGATATCACTTCAGATATTATTACATTGATAAACTAATAGATTAGGGAAATCTTTCCAACCTCAACAGATTTGTAATCCAAGAGAATATGCCGTGGGCAGCAATTCTGAAACCTCCGAAGCCCTAGGCATAAGATACAACTCCAAACATTATAAATATGTAGCCTTTGTCACATTAAAGGTCATCAAACATCAAACACATCTATTTTACCTCCTCCTCGCAAAAATGACTATTGGATGCGCCTTCGCCAAGCTTGCTGATGTCCGACCTTTCAAGACAACATGGAAGGTCCGCGTTAAGGTGATTCACTCCTGGAGGCAGTACAGCGGCATGTCCGGCGAAACGATGGATCTGGTTCTCGCTGATGAACATGTAAGTTTAAAACCTATATGTAAATTTCAATGCTAATCGTATGTTTCAGTTTGCGTTATAATGACAAGTACTATACTTATATTTCCAGGGTACTAAAATGCATGCTGGAATTAAGAAGAAGGATATAGGCCGGTTATCAAAGCTTCTGGTCGTTGGTGAATGGAAAGTGTTGGAGAACTTTCAGGTATCTCCTGCAACCGGGCTATTTCGACCAACTCCAAGCAACTGGAAGATTGGGTTGTCCATGAACACAATCGTTACCACATGCAGCATCAAAGTGGACGACATGTTCCTTTCGTTGGTACCTATCCAGACGATCCTAGATGGTGATTTGAATCACAATTTCTTGATTGGTAAGTAATCTATCCGTGCTTACAATCTACATCTGATGTATACTATTAAATTGCTGACTTGAAATGAGAGAACTTACATATTCAATCGGGAACTTGTGTACATGTTTTCCAGATGTCATTGGACAGGTTCTTGATGTGAGTGAGATCAAAACTGTTCCTGTACTTGGGAGAGAAAAGCGGAAGCTAGAGTGCGTGCTTAGGGACATTAAGTAAGTATATATACACTTATCATCAGTTCAATCTGTGGTTATATTCTCTATATGTCTAAGTATTTTCTTAATAAATTTTGCAGTGATCAGAGAATCAACTGCTGTCTTTGGGCGGGATACGCTGACCAACTGTACGAGGCATGCAGTAAAGCTAATGGGAAAACATTAATTTGTTTGATCAGATTTGCGAAACTCAACTTTTATCAAGGCAAGCTTATACATCAACTATATATCAACCTGATTGCAACCAAATCAACTTCGTTTAAACATTTTTGAGATATGAAACTATTTCTATTAGGTGATATGCAAGTAACTAATGCTTTTGACGCATCTAAGCTTATCATCAACCCTATTTGCGAAGAAGCAGATGCTTTCAGGATTGGGTTAGTAATATGTCTAAACTATATTTTTGCTAATTGTTTTAATTTACACAATATAGAAGAAGAAAACTAACCTTCTGTACTTGATGCCTTCAGCTTGCCAGATGACGGTGCGATTGTTGTCATCCAAGAGGATGATGAAGAGGCTGAGAAGCAAAGGATAAAGGAGCAGGAAGATGCGTGGCTGGCGTTGGAAATGAAATCTGTGTATGACATTCAGAATGCTACTGAGGTAAACACATTCATATGTAAGACAAATAGATTGAACGATTTGATAGTGATTTACTTATCTAAAATAATGTAATACCTCGCAGATAGAGAAATTCAGGATTTCTGTCAAAGTGACTGGAATTGATACCGACTGGGGTTGGTATTATTTCGGATGTGGAAAGTGCCAGTTCAGGGTCACCAAGGATCTGAAGAAGGAAGGAGCCACAAAACCTCGCCCCAAAGCACCCGTGTGGTACTGTGACAGATGCAAATCAAATGTCAAAACTGTTGAAGCAAAGTGAGTAGTTCCAAATTTTTTTCTGTTTTGGTTCATCAGTATAGATATAATAGTTGCCATTGTGATCACATGGAATATTTGCATATGCAGGTTCAAGTTGCACCTTCTGGTAGAGGATGACTCGGCCAAAACAAAGGTTATGCTTCTTGATTCCGTTGCTTATGGCATCGTGGATAAAACAGCTTCCTTCCTGCTAAACGGATCATACGATGAGGTAATATCATTATCAGAAGCTGCATAATATGTTTCCTGTTATACTAGCTCACGTTTTAACGAGATGCCTATTTATTATGAAAAAAACAGATTCAGGATCCAGAATTAATACCCGATGACGTCAAGAGTTTAGTTGGAAAAAGTTTCGAGTTTCTGGTCGGTGTCGAGAAGGAACACATTGTGTATGGAAATGACACCTACAAGGTGCATAAGGTAAAGAAAGGACTTCTCATTCTCGACACGGAATCTGGCGATGGACCATTCATTGCCATTGATAATGGTTCGACCATTGCATCTGGCGAGGAGGTTAGCACACCCTGTTCTCTTACATTCACGTTAAACCCATTTTGTATTGAAATGAACATAATATGAACTTTGATTAATCTTTGAATCCTCACCTATGTTTTAGTTGTCGGTTGTCAAGAGTAACAGCCAAAGCATTTCAGATGATGGTTCAACCCCATCACCGAAGCGTGATTTTGAATCAATGCATGGTGTCCCAGCCGGCTCTTCCACTTCGAAGAAGCATTGCCCCAAGCAACTTCCTACAGAGGCCAGTAGAGAGCTGGTCAATCCGGATGGACTAATTAGCCAGCATCCCGAAGCAAATAAGAGCGAAGCTAAGCTCCACCAACTCACCGAGAATTGACGTTAAGCGTAGCATGCAGAAGAGTCTCCAATAATTTATTGTTTTCAATCAAGGATCGAGCTTATGTTCTCCATGTGTTTTTATTTTGCTACACAGTTGGTTTTCTATTTATTTCATTTCTTTTTCTGGCAACTTTTTAAAATAATGGAGCTTTTGTTTTACATTTGATTTGCTTAACTATATTTTTCTATATCAACTATCAATACACAAATACAACATGGAGACTTTTCCAAACTGAGTAGGATACGTACCTAATAGATGCCAGATTTCAACATGCTCTGAAACGTCATATACTAAATTAACCGCAGTTATTGGATTACCTGCAAGTAATGTGATCTACAAATGTTCAAGATGGTCTAACCCGTATATATTCATAAACCTAGACAAATATAACTCAAACTTTATTGGAAATAATGTGATCTATCTTTAAATAATGTGAGGGTGTCAATAGACATGTTTTTGCAAAAGATGGCACTCTCTAATTATATTATATAACCAAATTATAATCGAGGTCAAAATACAATTAATTGGACGATTAAATATTCTGTTTGAGATTTGTATTTTGTAAAAGTTAGTTGTTCATATAAGTGGGAATGTTTATATATTTGAAAAGTTTGGTGAAACCGGGAATCTCAATTGTTATATTTTAAGCTTGCCGCCATGTACAATTATAAGATTTTGAATAATCGAATGAGATCTCCGGAGTATCTTAGATTGGTTAAACTAAGGAAGAAGTATTTAGCAATGAACAATTGTACATGGATAGATATTACCTCTTTCACAAAGATGACCTTCAGTGAAACATCCCCTGCGTAACCTCTTAAAAGAAATCACAAGGAGGTTAATTAGAAGAGAAGCAGGTATTGTCAAACAGACCATTGTGATTTTCCTTTGACCAAAAAACTTTGTCTACATTTCTACGTAACTTAGACCTTTTTGTTTATGCAGTTGGAAAATGGTTCGTCTTAAAAATGTAGGCACAGACACGTTTAATAAGAACACTAAACCTCCAGTCACGAGGAAGAGGAAATTGACCGCAAGTAACAATGAAAATGTAGATCCAAATTCAGAACCGGTAACAGACACCCATCTCCTTTTTTTATTGTCATATTGATGAAGTAGGATCATGATGATGATTTGGTTTTCATGGTTAGGTGAAAAATCAAAATGAAAACAAAGGTTCAGCTGCGAAACTCACTGCTAAAGCAAATATTCAACCTAAGAGAAGCAGAAAGAAAACGAAGGACGTGAACACTGAACCAAATGCAGCAACGAGAATTAGCGATAAGTGTAATAACAACACTAAACCTCCAGTCACGAGGAAGAGGAAATTGACCTCAAGTAACAATCCAAACTCAGAACCGGTAACAGACACCCATCTCCTTTTTTTATTTTATTATCTAATTGATGAAGTAGAATAATGATGACCATTTGGTTTTCATGGTCAGGTCAAAAATCAATCTGAAAACAAAGGAGATGCTGCGAAAGTCACTGCTAAAGCAAATATTCAACCTAAGAGAAGCAGAAAGAAAACGAAGGGTGTTAACAATGAACCAAATGCAGCAACGAGAATGAGTGGACCATGTATACTCTCAAATATATTTTTAGAAAACTAATTGATGATGTTGAAGGCATATCTAAACGAACTACCATCCCGACGAAGGAAAAGCCTAAACGTAAGAATGGAAAACCAGTCGGGCCAACACTTTCTACACAAGGTAATGCTTATCGTCCATGTTTTTATGCAATGAATATATCCTGTATATGCACACCTCTAAATAAGAATTAAGAAGTTAACTATGTATCTGTTTAACAAACAGAAAATGAGTCAAGGGTACAGAACTTACAAACGAGGAAGAGACAACGTGGAAGGAGAGTACTGCAGGATATCTCAAACTTGCCAGATGACGATGATGTTTCGTAGGACTTTCGGATGATAACCTGGATGAAGAACGACCACATAACTATCCGGATCTTTTAAACTCTGATGAAGGTGATAATTTATATTATGATTTTTAGACATTGTAAACGTTAGCCTAGATCTGTAACTTATCATCGTGATTTGTATTAACAGACGATGAAGGGGATTACGAACACATTTTCCAATGTAGTAGTCCTGATAGCACAGACACAGAAGATGGTGATAATGATAAATACCAACCTTCTCCATCACATCTGCAACAAACGCATATCTCCGAACAAGAACCTCCTTCGACCGTACACATAGTTCCAACACTTCCTGAGAGTGTGATTACTCAAGAAACTGTTCAACCTTCTCCAACTCTGAAAAAACGAAAGAGAGTGAGTATGGCAAAAAAGAAAGAAACTGTACCCGATAAGATTGGTAAGCTAATTAGAAACAACGTGTTATATGTATGATGCAACATCGAACTTTTTGTATAGTAAATCCTGATTTGTATGTTCACTGTGTTGTGCAGTATACAATGACGAGGGTGACATGACTTATTCGTGCGTGCATTGTGGTGCTAAATTTTGGTATGGAGAACGACTAAACAGAAGAAGGACGACGGGGGATCCATCATTCAACCTTTGTTGTATGCACGGCCAAGTCAAATTGCCTTTACTAAAGGATCCTCCTGCTCTTATTAAAAAATTGCTTTTGGGGATGATGAAATGAGCAGGCACTTTCAAAAATTTATCAGAATCTACAACATGTTGTTCTCTATGACGTCTCTCGGAGGTAAAACTGATCGTTCTATCAAAAAAGGAAAGGGTCCAAACATGTTTCAGCTGCACGGAGAAAATTACCACCTAATTGGAAGTATGCTTCCAAACCCCGGTGATTATGCAAAATTCTATCAGATGTACATAGTTGATTCTGAAAATGAATTGGACAACAGACTGAATTTTTTCAGGTAATATATTTTAGTTTAAAGCTATTGTCATAATAATTATGAAGTCATTACCAATTTAGGGTTTTGTCATTGCGTTTCAGTAAGGGGAAACACGCATCCAAGCCAGATAAGAAGAATAGACTCAGGAAGGACATCATTGATGCGCTGACAAAGATGCTCGACGATGTCAACCCCTATGTCAAGAATTTCAGGACTGCAAGAGAAAGATTCAACACTAATCCTGAAGATAGTTTTCATATGAGGATAATTAGTGATCGTGTTACAGATGGTAGAACTTACAATGTTCCAACTGTGTCTGAGGTTGCTGCAATTATTCCCGGAGATTTCAATTTAGAAATGGGTACAAGACGGGATATTGTTCTAGAGAAACGATCAGGCAAGCTGCGACGGATAAGCGAAATCCATCCAGCCTACATACCACTGCAATATCCTCTGGGGTTTTCTTATGGAGAAGATGGTTTCCGACTTGGAATTAAGAAAGCCAATGTTGAAGCTTCTAAGAAGACGAAAAAGGAAAACATCAGCGTTAGACAGTTTTTTGCGTATCGTCTAATGGTTAGACCAAACGAGTCAAATCACTTGCTACACTCTAGGAGATTGTTCCAGCAGTATCTGGTTGATACCTACACTATGATAGAGTCTAACAGATTATCCTACTTGAGATTGAACCAGACAAGTTTGAGGTCTGATAGCTATGACTCTATCAAACAAGCGGAAGACCAAGGTGTTATTGAAATGGATGAACAAGGCAATAAATTTCTGCTACCTGCGAGTTTCACTGGTGGACCAAGATACATGAGGGAGTTGTATTTTGACGCCATGGCCATTTGTAGACATCATGGATTTCCAGATCTTTTCATTACTTTTACATGCAATCCTAAATGGCCAGAAATATCAAGGGATCTCGCAGGGACCCGTCTAAGTGCCACTGATAGAGCTGAACTTATTAGCAGAGTCTACCGGATGAAACTAAAATCTCTTATGGAAGATCTAACTCTCAAAAACCTGCTGGGAAAAACGGTGGCCTGTAAGTTTACGAAGCCCCTACTTTTATCGTTGATATCTGATATGCATATTCCTATATGTTGATAACTATTTATCTAACGATGAGACATGATTGGCAATGCAGCTATGTACACCATAGAATTTCAAAAGCGAGGTTTGCCACATGCACACATTCTTCTATTCATGGATCAGAAGTCAAAGCTCCAGACAACAGACGCTATTGACGATATTATATCCGCCGAAATACCAGATAAATCAAAAGATCCAGAGTTGTATGATGTTGTGAAAGATATGATGATTCATGGACCATGTGGTCATGCCAACCCCAATTCACCATGTATGAGCAATGAATATGTACTAAGAACTTCCCCAAGAGCCACGCTGAAAAGACTACAATCAATAGAGAAGGATTCCCATTATATAGGAGACGCGATCAGCCCAATGTGTTTGTGGAGAAGAACGGTTTTAAATGCGACAACAGATACGTAATTCCATACAACAAAACCCTATCCGTCCGTTATAGAGCACACATCAATGTTGAGTGGTGTAACCAGACGGGGGCTGTCAGATATTTATTTAAGTACATCAACAAAGGAGCCGATCGTGTTTCTGTTGTCGTTGAGTCAGCTGAGGAAGCCAGGAGAAAAACAAAGAGCGGACATAAGGATGTTAGTGGAGATGCCAACAGTCGATCAAATGATGAGGGTGTTAGCGCAGAGAAGAAAGCTTCCAAGGAAAATAGGAATGAGATCAAGGACTACTTTGATTGCCGGTATGCTTTATTATTTGTCTTTAGCCTCCATTTAAGCGATATGACTGTTTTCTTAGCTGTGGTCATATCATTATCTTTTATTTTAGGTACATTTCACCCTCTAAAGCTGTTTGGAGAACATTCAAATACCCGATACACCATAGATCTGTATCAGTGGAGAAACTGACATTCCACCTCGAAGGGAAACAGTTGGTTATTTACAAAGGTAGTGACAAAATGGAGAGGGTCGTAACACGTAAACTAATTGAGAAGACAATGATGCTGGCATGGTTTGAACTGAACAAGGAGTGTGAATTTGCTAGAACGCTTACCTATGTTCAGATTCCAAATTATTTTACCTACGTAAAAAGTGAAAAACGCTGGAAACGTAGAAAGAGAGGATTCAGCATTGGAAGAATCAATTACGCACCAAGGAAGATTGAAGATGCTTACTATTTGAGAATGCTGTTAAACGTCGTGAGAGGTCCAAGATCGTTTGAGGAGATAAAGACCTATAATGGTGTGTTGTACCCTGAATTTAAAGATGCCTGTTACGCTAGGGGCCTGCTAGAGGATGACCAAGAGTATATCGATGATATTTGCAGAAGAAGCTTCACATGTCCTCCATCACAACTTCGCCAGTTGTTTGTCATCATGCTTACTTCAGATAGTCTGATTTCGCCAGATGTAGTTTGGTATGCGTGTTGGGAGTTTCTTTCTGACGACATGGAGATGATTAGAAGAAGGGATCTTAATAGACCAGGTACAATATCTTCACTCTTCATTTCCTTAAGTTTTTTTTTAAAAAAATAGGAATCTATTTACTAAATAGTATTGTCAACGAATTTCAGCACTTACGCTAAGTGACGAAGACAAAAGGGAATATGCTCTCCAGGAGATTGTAAAGTTAGTAAAAAGGAATGGCGCTGACTGGACGAGGTTTAAAAGTATGCCTCAACCACGGGGAGTTACTTATTCAGCTACCGATAATGTTCTAATTTTTGATGAAAAGAGTTATGAAAAAGAGGAGCAGAAAACAAACCACGACAGAGACTTTGCTAAGCTTACTCCTGAACAGAAGAAAGTGTATGAGGAAATAATTGGTTCTGTTTTAGCGAGAAAAGGAGGAGTGTTCTTTGTATATGGCTTTGGTGGAACTGGAAAAACATTTTTGTGGAGGATTTTGTCTTCTGCAATTAGATACAGGGAAGAGATCGTTTTAAATGTAGCTTCAAGTGGTATAGCATCACTACTGTTACAAGGAGGCCGCACGGCTCATTCCAGGTTTGGGATACCTCTGAATCCAGATGAGTTTACTACATGTGTTATGAGCAAAGGTTCTGATCTAGCAAATTTGGTCAAAGAGTCGTCTCTTATTATATGGGACGAGGCTCCTATGATGAGTAGGCATTGTTTCGAGTCTTTGGATCGAAGTCTTTCAGACATTATTGGTAATAAAGATGGAAAGCCGTTCGGAGGTAAAGTAATTGTGTTTGGAGGTGATTTCAGACAAGTTCTTCCAGTAATACCTGGTGGTGGTAGGGCACAAATAGTAGGAGCCTCGCTGAACTCATCTTATCTTTGGAAACACTGCAAAGTTTTAAAACTGACAAAGAACATGAGGCTCTTATCTGGTAATCTGAGTGAAGAAGAAGCAAGAGACCTAAAGGAATTTTCAGAGTGGATACTCGATGTTGGTAATGGAAGAATAGCGGAACCTAATGATGGTGAAGCTGAGATCGAAATTCCTGAGGAATTCCTTATAATGGATGAAGAGGAGCCTATTGAATCTATAAGCAGGAAGATCTATGGAAGTTCCGAGGCTCTGCAGGACAACACGGATCCAAACTTTTTCCAAGGAAGAGCAATTCTTTGTCCTACGAACGAAGATGTCGACAAGATAAACCAGCACATGCTAGACAAATTGAATGGTTAGTCAGTTTCCTCAGTTTCTACTATTTTACGATTTGTAACTAACCTAAATTGATATCTATCAGGAGAGGAACGAATTTATCTCAGCTGTGATACCTTGGATCCTTCAGACTCTTCTGCCATGAATGACGAGGCTCTAAGCACGGAATTCTTAAACAGCATCAGAGTTGCTGGCTTACCTAACCACAGTTTGAGACTGAAGGTTGGGTGTCCGGTGATGTTGCTAAGGAATATTGATCCAATAGGAGGTCTAATGAATGGAACAAGGCTGCAAATTACTCAACTAGCTGACTTTATGGTAGAAGCTAAGGTTATTACCGGAGACAAGATTGGAGCGAAAGTTATCATTCCTCGACTCACCATTACACCATCAGATGCGAGGCTTCCATTCAAAATGAGAAGAAGACAATTGCCTCTATCTGTTGCTTTTGCCATAACTATTAACAAGAGCCAAGGCCAGTCCCTGTCAGAGGTTGGAATTTACTTGCCAAGACCCGTTTTCTCTCACGGACAACTCTATGTTGCTATCTCCAGGGTTACGTCGAAAAAAGGATTGAAGATTTTGATCGTGGATAACAAGGGCAAGCCACAGAAGAAGACAACGAATGTTGTCTTCAAAGAAATTTTCCAGAATCTCTAACCATGGTCTTCTGTAGAAGATCCTATTCGAAGAGGTTTTAATTTGTTATGCTTCTAGAGATCTTATGTAGAATAACTCATTCATATCGAATGAGTCACACGAAACTATTTTTCATGAATTTTCTATCTGTAGAAGATTGAACTACATGATATCATTTTTTATTTTTACCAAAGATATTGCGATGATGATGAACGAACACATAAACGATCAACCAGATTTTAATATATCTAATTCTTTATTCAGAAAACTATATAAGATCGAATACTCAATATAAGCAATTAGTTGAAAAAGCCGTTCACTATTTCTAGCCCATTCAAACTACGTAATTCGATTAAACGATGACAGTTAATATCAAGCCCAAACTCAATGCTTACCTTACGTGATGTCTGAACTGAATCCTGTAAACGGTTAGTTAAGGTTCGTTTCTTCAAAATGCACCTACAAAAACACAAAACAATTTTTCAAAAGAGTCATTAATATTTCCCACATAAATTAAGTATCTATATACTAATATTGCAAAGAATATGACGTCAATCTACACTAAAATCCGAATCTAGACTTTCAGTAAATTAAATACCGGATTCTACGGTATAGTCAAACACGGAAGTTATATTTATATTAAATGCGGTCAAAAAAAAAATCTCAACAAAATCTAATTATATTGTATTCTCGGAAAATCTCATTGCTACATAAAGATCATTACCCTTATATAAATATTCTTCCATCTTAACTCAAACCATCACAATCTTAAAATAATAGATCTCGATAATTTTCCAATGTTGAACGACGTTAAACTCGCACGAGTGGGACCAAACCGTCACGATTCGAGGATTACTGTTAAAGTGTTAAAGATCTGGGATACAATTCATGTCGACACCGGTGAAGGGCTCAGTTTCCTCTTTCTCGATGACGAGGTTACTGTTACAGTTTCAAAGTAATTTTATTTTGAAACTAATTTTACATGATACGAATGGATTTCTTAATTTATTTTCACAATTGTAACAGGGAACGAAGATGCATGCATTGGTGGAAAGAAAAGATCAGCATAGGAGATTTAGGAGACTACTTCATGAAGAAGAGTGGAAGACCATATCTGGTTTCAAAGTTCGTACATTTACTCCTAGAATTCGTTTGACCAAACAAAGGAAAGAGATTTTCCTCACTTCTGAGACACAAGTTGATGATGCTGACGCCTTTGATGGTTTTATTCCGTTGGATCTAATTCCATTTGGAGATGTTATGCTTTGGAGTTCATGCTGGAACTGTTTATCTTAGAGGTTATTTCCAACTATATATCTTTAATTTGTACTAAATCATCCCTGTGAATAAACTTATTTTGTTTTGAAGTTACATATTCTGCTTAATCGGAAGTTTCATGTTTTTTAATTGTAACAGACTTCATAGGCCAAATATTATTTTCTCATGAGTTGGGTGTCATCAAAGATCGTTCTCTTCCTAGGAACAGATTGAACCTTTACGAGAAATATACCAGCAAGATTGACTTTGTGATGCGGGACAACGTGTAAGTTTATATCTACTATATTCCTAATCTCTTTAAAATTAATTACTGGACTATGTAGTATTTATCTGAGACACACTTTTTTATTTGATTTTAGTGGCAATAGATTAAACGTTCGTGTAAAGGGACAGTTAGCAGATAAATTCAAACTCTTCTGGCTTTGTTACGCCAACTGTGGAACAAATATTGTTCTGTTAACTGACTGGCGTGTTGTTGGAAATGATGGTAAGCTCATTCGTGTTGTTATAGTAATATTCTGTAGCAGATTTTCCAATTGTCTTCTTATGTAAACTATATAACATCTTCAATTTTGATTTAATATACAACTAGGTGGTATAAATGTTGAAAGCTCTCCTGGTATCTCTACTTTTGATTTCCATCCCACCGGACACTTAAGGTGGAACATTTCGAGAATACATTGTAAGTTTTATAATTTGAAAGTCCATTCTTGCTAAATGACTTATCTTACATAAGACTCACTAGCCATGATCGATAATTTTTTATATTGTTTTCTTTTTACAGAGAAGCTGAGGTTGATGATAGCGATGATGATTGAGAATCTGAAGACATGGATGTTTAAATCATTATCTTTCCTGCTATCTATGTGTAACTTAACTATGAGAACCATGCTATTGTTATTTAAGTTTACTTTCAAGTTAAGATTAAAGGTTTCAGTTGATCTACTGTTTTCGAAACCACTAAGTCAGAAAATGTTTTTATATAATTTATTCAGGCACAGAAATACTGATTCAATGTAAATGTCAGTAAAGCAAGATATTGGTCCAATAACAGGGTTTACCTTTATATTCTGGAGAGTCATAAACCAGTATAGGTAACCGTTCCCAAAAGCTGAGTATCTACCTGCCAAAACACATAAAAATGTTCAAGAATTTTAATCCACAGAAGAATACCGGACTGAAAGGATGTATTGAAGACTTATGCTACTCTTAATCAGTTGATATAAAAGTCATGAACAAGGATGTATTGAAGACTGCATATTTACGAAAAGAGTAAAATTTAATTTCCAAGTTCTGTCACCTCTATGAACAGAGGAAAAGCTGCAAATGTTTACTTTCACGTGAAAGGTTCATCTTTTGTGGACTTTGGAAATAGCTGTCTTCCTTATTTTCATTTCCAAACGGTCAGATATATTAAATGTATGAAGAGTATATTTATTTTTCCTAACCGAATAACAATGAAATGGTAACATAATTCGACATCCTATAAATAACTCAGCACTCTGTCTTTTTGTAGAACAGAGAATCACAACAAATCTTCAAATATGGCAACTATATCGAAAATCAACGAACTTTCTCCTCATAGGAATGGTTGGACGATAAGAGTTAGAGTTTTGAAGAAATGGTCTGAGATGATAGATGGAGGTGGTGACATATTGCGTTTTCTTTTAGTAGATGATCACGTAAGTTTATTTATCTTCTTCATTCTTTTTTGTTAACATTTTGATTTATTCGGTATGATAGGAACTGCTATTAGTCGTGTTTTATGTACTTTTAACAATAGAAATTGTTTAATCGATAGGATGGAAAAATACCTGCCAAGGTCAGTCAAGAAAATGGTCTCTATGAGAATTTCGATGAACAGCTACACGAGGGCGACTGGAAAATCATCACTGGATTTACCGTAGAGTTGTCACCTCCTGGATTTCGTTTTGCTATGAATCACCATACCATCATCTTCACAGGTAATACTAATCTGCAGAGGTCATGGGGTGTCATCACAGACCATTACATGAGTTTCAAGAACTTCCGGTCCATAATGAATGGAGTATATACTTCCAACTATCCAATTGGTATGTTTTTACTAACCGAGCAATTATTAATGTTTGTGAAAACTTATTATCTTGAAGTAGTAATCAATAGTCATTTCATATTTCATAAAAAATATATAGATACACTCTAACTATTCTTTGAAATAGATCTCCTAGGCTATCTAGATGGCGTTGGTGAAATAGAAGTTGTGACAGACCACACCTTTACACTAGGTGATAACATGCAAACTTCAAGAGTAACATTCACCATCAAGGATCTTGAGTAAGTATAGTGGATAGAGTTCATGATTTTTTTACCTAGGTTTAAATGAGATTAAGCTGTAAATGCGACTTTTATCATCAACTATATATACTTTCCATCTTTAGAGGTCGCACACTGGAATGTGAAGCCAGGGGAGTTTTGGGTATCCAACTCTACAATAAATGGTGGAGGCATGGTGGAACCGAAACATTCATCACAATGAGTGATTGGATGGTTTACACGGACAGAGGTATTTATCACAGTTGCTTAGGAAGTTTTGCATCTTATAGATGGAATGTTACATAAGATAGCATCTAGATAGAGTACAATCGACTATCAATGACTAGCTAAGTTTCCAACGTATAGGAACCAACGAGATGAAGATTAAGGATGCTGGAGGAATCTCTAGATTTGAGTTCAATGCCCTTTACCAGGATGTTTATGAGTTCAGGGCAGCATAGTAAGTGATGAATGTTTCAATTAGCATTAGACTCGAAAATTTTTCTCTGTAACTAATAAAACAACCTCTGTGCAGTTTTAATGAGAGCGACCCTACAGGGATAGAGAGTGATGGTTCAAGTGTTGAGCTGGATTGGTCTCCCTGAAAAATGTGTTTCACTTGGAGGGAAAATAAGTTGAACTTAAAGTCAACTTAGTGAACTGTTCTAGACCCGTGCTTCTATGCTGCCTATATTTAAATAATCTTTGGGGACTGTCGTTTGTTGTGTTTTCGTTGTCGTTTATAGACATTTTTACCTAATTAAATCATCCGTATGGATGTTGTTAAAGTTTTTCTCTTCAATTTTGGCCCATTTTCAACAAAACTGAGTCCATTATCGGAGATATGTTTGATCAGCTTAATAAATGTTTGTCTTTATATTTACTTTTTAACCTGTTATGCGAGTAGAATAAATTTTATTCATTACGAGTATTCAGTTAATTCATACCTTTCCCCTTTGCGTGTTAGACCATAAAGAAAACAGCTTTTCCTGTTTACATAGAGAAGACAAAACTGACAAACATTAGTCAATGCGAATCTATGACTGAAATATTTAGTTTACATAAAAAATTAAAATCATAACAAATATATTGCTGAAATATTTTGTTTACATAAAAATTAGGAGGCATAACAAAAAAGGGTAAAACCTAATTCTGGAATTATATAAGGGAGATGAATAGCTCTTTATGTATTAGGGTCTAAACGAAAACTTAAGAAAATCTTTCAGAACATGGCTAATTTTACTAGGATCGCCGAGCTTTCTCCTCATCGGAATGATTATATAATAAGAGTGAAGATTTTGAAAAAATGGAAGGAGATGATATTTGGAGGTGGAGACATATTGAGTTTTCTTTTAGTCGATGAACATGTAAGTTTAAGAATTCCTATTGTGTTTTTTTAGTATAGATAGGTCTAATGTTTTATCCGTTGGCTTACCTGGACTATCAACTAATTCAATTCTACTTTGTCAAATGAAAAGGGTGAAAAAATACCTGCTAAGGTTAGTCCGGAGATTGGCCTCAATGACGATTTCGACTTCAATCTGCACGAAGGCCACTGGATGATTATCTCAGGATTCATCGTTGAGTTAACACCACCTCCTTCACTTTTCTCTGAGAATAATCATACCATCATCTTCACCGAGGATACAGATCTGCATGTGTCAACTGGTGTTCATCAAGACCATTACATGGAGTTCAAGGACTACACAGATATAAAGAATGGAGTATACAACTCGCATCGTCCTATCGGTAAGTGAATACGTCTCTACATTTTTAACTCGTGCAAATGAGACATATTGTATACTACTGTTAGACAAGCACATCTTTAATGGAGTTAGTCACAGACAATTTAACATTATGTTTTCAATGGAAACTAGATCTTATAGGTTATCTGGATGACGTTGAAGAGATAAGAACAGTGAAGGACCACAACTTTAGACTAGCTCCTGGCAAGAAGACTTCTAGAGTCATGTTCACGATAAAGGGCTTAGAGTAAGTGAAGCAAAATTGTCTGTGACTTAATTCAGACTTCTACCCGTTATGATATATTTCGTTTTTTGAGACTAAACTGTTTTTTAACATATTGAATTTAGTGGTGTAACACTGGAATGCAAAGCTTATGGAGTCTTGGCGGATCAGCTATATGATAAATGGTGGTATCATGGTACAACAGAAACATTCATCACAATGAGCGACTGGATGGTTTACGGAGAACAAAGTATGCAATCTTTTAATTTCATCATTTCAAAATAGTTACTACAATGAAAGTGAGTCTACAACTTCATTACTTGCGATCAACTGTTAAAATAAATGATAGGAACCGGTGAGCTGAAGATTAAGGACGCAGGAGGAATATCTAGATTTGAGTTCAATGCTGATTATCAGGATGTTTATGATTTCAGCGCTGAATAGTAAGTTAGAAATCTATTTACAATATCTTTACATTCCTTAATTTTTGGTTGTTAACATTCATCGTAACTAATACAAATTATGCTAAACATTTTTTTTTGCAGTTTCAATGACAGTGATGGCTCTGTTGAGGAGGTGGTAGTAGTATCTCCATGAAATACTACTTTGTTAGTATGAATTTCCATAAGAGATTGTGCCATGTTGTTTTTGAACTATTGACTGTTTCAGTTTATGCTTGATTCACAATTCTATCTATGAACTATCTACTATCATCTTTGAATCTGTTTCTTCTATCTTTAAACTATCTCCTTCCTATATTTGAATCTGTTCTTCTATAACCATATCTGAGTGATTTTACATGCACTATTTCGTATATGCAATCATCATTATATTAATAGAGTGTCAAATCCCTAAAGATCTATTTAATATACAAATGATATTATATTAACTATGACATTAAATCCGGAAAGTTTGGTAAAGAAGATTCGGGAAAATAGCCATAGATATAATCATTGTTACCAGAATTTAAAAATGTTAAAAATATATAAAATTACAAAATAAAAAAAAATGAAAAAAATTTGACCATTGCGTCGTTTAGTAATATCAACCGTCCCAATCAAAGACAACCCTAATTTGTTTCCCTATATAAGGAGAGTGTTCTCCGAACTTATGTTCCAGAGTAGAAAACTAAGAACTCCATATCTAGAAAATATCTTCAATGGCAAACTTCACCAGACTCAACGTGTTGACACCTAACCGTTCTGATTGGAGGGTTTTGGTTAGAGTTGAAAAGATGTGGGATACCTTGGAGGCAGATGTTGGTGAAGGTCTAAGCTTTCTTTTTGTGGATGAAATGGTTTGTTCTCGATCTATTCATATTCATATTTTCTCATATACAAGTTCTTTATGTTCCAAAATCATGTTCCTAATTGAAGTTTACAACTCTAACAGGGCACAAAGATGCATGCTTTTGTTGAACAAAGTAATCAGAGGAAAAGGTTCAAGAGATGTCTTCATGAAGGGGAAGTGGAAGATTCTAACCGGATTTTCCGTGGTGATGGTGAATACAGAGATCCGTTTGACGGAAGCCAGAAACAAGATTGCTCTCACGTCCAACACCAGCGTCACACCCGCAGAGGACTCGGATGCTTGGATTCCGCTTGACATCGTTCCTTACGACTATGTTTCGAATTTTTGGAATGATGAACGAACTTCTTTCCCTAGAGGTTAGTTTTTCTTACTTAACATTTTGTACCATCTAAACGAGGAACCCTATAGGAAAGTAGCTTTCAATATGTTAATGTTATTTGGCATTTTTTTGTAAACTTTCTAGGGTTTATACTTGAAGTTCGTGAGACAATGCTCAGGGAAGATGTCTCTATTCCTAGGAACCCTTTAAACGATGATCCAAAGACCACTAACACAATAGATTTCACCCTACAGGACAACGAGTAAGTATATTTACACAAAACTAAATTGGAATAAGTTATGTATTGTTTCTGAATTCTAACCTGAAATACAT